CAGCAGAGCTGGGCTTCTGGCTCCCAAAGGGATCTGAGACCCAGGTGGGTCTCCCCGAAAGTCCCCTGGCCATGGGTCAAGTGGTTTTCATGGGAGATTCAAGTCCCATGGCAGGCCTATCCTGTCTCTGGCCTCTGTCAAGAGATGCTCCTGCCTGCCCCAGAGGCCTCCAGAAGCTACCCAGGCTGGAGAGGGGACTTCTTGGGGAATGGATGATTTGTCACCTGCTCTCAGGGCTCAGGCACTCCTTCATGGCACAAGCCACCTGCAAACAGATGTGGGGCAGATCATGGCAGGTGGGACACATCTTCTCTTCAAAGAGAATGGAGCAGCCAGGACTCACACAGGAGACCCAGACCTTTCCAGGAGCACCGTAGCTGTTCTGCAGCTGGACAGCAAACTCCAGTCAATGCTGGGGGCAGAGCAGCAGATTGCTGGCTCCATACCCACCCAATCTTCCTTAGCAGCCCTGGGCCAGCAAAAGGCTGAGCTCTCACCTGAAAGACATCTCCATTGACAGTGGCTCCTCCATTCTGGAAACCTGCTTGAGAAAAAGGAAGAGAGAAGGAAAAACACAACTATGACAGCTGCAGATGATCCCAGAGGGGCTGGTGTTCATGAAACAACATCAGATCAGCTCCTGGGAGTTTGTCTGTGCCTTTTTCAGCTCAGCACACCCATGGCACAGCACCCTCCCAGTGTCCTGTGCTTGGTGGGATTCAGCAAGCACCTCTCACTCTCTCACACAAACTTCTGCAGGCATTTATGTCTTTATGGTGTTTTCACTGGTGTTTAATCTTATCTGAAGATTAGGGAAACTGCTCTGGCACAAGACTGACACAGGCTGCTGCTCTGACTGTAGAAACACAACCTGACCAAGCCCAACCTGCAGAGGCTGCTGATGGACACAGCTGATCCAAGAGCTGCCAGCCAAGTGCCAAGGCAACTCTCCAAGGACACGGCCCATGGAAACACTCCTTGTGCTCCACAGGATAGGAGGGCATGCTTGCAGGTCCTTGAGAGTCCACCTGGGATGAGCTGCAAGGTCAGGGTTGGTAATGAGACACCCATCTGCCCCCGCAGCCCCAGAGAGCTGCACACCTGGGTTACAAAGCCAGCTCAGGCAGGGGGTTTTCTGCTGCCAGGAGAGAAGAGACTTTGAAGGAGTCACACTCCAGGCCCTGAGCCTTCCCCAGTGACCACAGGGTTTCTCCTGGCCAGCCAGCTGGACCCAATGCAGCTGAGTCCAGCATTGTCCCCAAAGTGCTCAGCCCCATGACTACACCCAGCTCCAGCCTGTCTAACTGCATTTATCACTGTGGCTGTCAACACCTCTCCAGGCCCAGATCTGCCTCCATGGCCCTGTGTGCAGAGCTCTGAAATCACTGTTCCACAGACAGCATGAGGAGACCCTGTGGGGCTGGGTTAGGGAAGGAGTCAGAGCCCTGTGGCAACAGTGCCCCTATGTCCATACAGAGAGCAGGTGCCAAAGCCCCTGCAGACAGGAGAGCAGAATTAGCAAATTCTACCTGCAGGGCCTGGGACCAAAACGTTCCCAATGGCAATGTCTTCCATTTTGCATCCCAAAGGGCTCTCCTGTCTGTGGGGACAGTGACAAGGCTGTCACTGCTCCTCAGTGCCGCCTGGATGCCTTTAACACTGCCATAGCTGGGAGCACTGAAACATGGAGTCGGGAGTCCATCCAACCCGGGAAACCCAGCACAAAGGGGAGAAATCGCCCCATGGCTGGCACATCCCAGCTCAGATTCACCCCACATCCCCGAGGTTCGAGAAGCCCTCTGGGCACAAGCACAGGCCCAGACGACCCGTCCTAGGATGCCAGCCTGGCCTACAGGGTCACCCCGCCACCGGCCCATGAGGCGCAGCACAGACCCCATCACCCACCGGGGATGCTGTGCACCCCCCGGGGACCCCAGCCCCGCGTGGATGCGGCCCGGAGGACCCTTCCCTGCCTTCGGGACACAAGGGGGCACAGCCCTCCAAGGTCGGGAGCCCGCCGCACCCAGCGGGAGCGCAGCCGGGCGGCCTCCGCGGGCGTGCTCACCCTGTTCCGGCGGGGCCGCCTGCCCGCCCGGGGCGGCGGCCGCCTCGCCGTCGGTCGGCCCGAAGCCCTCATCGTTCTCGATGCCCGCGATCTCGCTCTCCTGCTGGGCCAGAAAGGCGGCGGCCGGGTCCTCCTCGGCGCCAGCGCCCTCAGATGAGGAAAAGAAGCCGAAGTCGTCGGCCATGACCGGCCCGCCCGCGCCGCTCCCGGTCCGGCTGCGCGGCTCGGCTGGGCTGGGCCCGACTGCGCCCGGGCGGAGCTGTCGCTGTCACTGCGGCGGCGGGCGGGGCAGCCGCGCTGACATCAGCGCCGGGGCGGGCCCGCGGGCACGTCCCGCCTCCCGGCCAGCCGCAGCGGGCACGGGCAGCCGGGGCTGCCCGCCTGCCTCCCCCGGGGCTCGACTGGCCGCGGTCCCGCCTCGCCGACCCCTCACGCGGGCGCTCGTAGCTGCGGGTGGGAGCGGGGGCCCCTCACAGCCTCCTCCATCTTAGCGGCCGCCGCCATCTTGGGCCCGGCGCACGGGCGGCCCAGCGGGACGAGGGGTGCCGGGCAGGACCCACCCGGCGGGACCGGAGGTAGCGGGCAGGATCCACCCGACGGGACCGAAGGTGCCCGGGCAGGACGCACTCGGTGTCTGGCAGCCCCCGCGGTGACGGGAACACAGCCAGCTCCGGGGGGTGTTCGGCTCATATCCCCCCGCTCCCCTTGGGCTCGGGGCCCGCTCCCACAGCAACAGGCTGCCCCCTCATCCCCGGGCCTATTCCGGGAACACCCGAGCAGCCCTTGGCACGCTTCGGAACTCTTCGTGTGTCCGCCGGGAACACCCGAGCGGTGCTCGGCACTCTTCGGAACTTTACGTGCGCCCGCCGGGGAAACCCGAGAGCGGCCACCGCCGCCGATGGGATTCGGGCATCTCCGGACGGGCCCCAGAGCACTTCGGTTGTGTCCGGAATGCGGCCCAGCAGTTCCGGCGGTGGCCGATAAACAGCCATTGGCCGCGCCGCGCGGGGCTGGGGTGGAAGTGTGGGCGGGCGACGTCACTTCCGGAGAGTGACGGAGCGGCGGGTCAGAGGCGGCAGCAAAATGGCGGCGCCTGAGGAACGGGAGCTGACGGCGGAACAGACCGAGAAGCTACTGCAGTTCCAGGTGCCACGTCCCGGGGGGCCCGTGCCGGCCGGCGGGAGCGGGGGAGGCGGTGCGCGGACACGGAACGGGCTGAGCTGGGCCCGCCCCGCCGGCGCTGGGGGGTACGGGGCTGCCAGAGCCGGATAGGCCCGTCCTGGAGCAGGGTGTCGAGCTGGGCATGAGGGGACGGTGAGAGGAGAGACACCTGTGGGCCCAGTCCTGGCCGGGGTGAGTGAGATTTCCGTGCCCCTGACACTTTGTCGGGGCGATATTCTGTCACGGCTAGTTGTGGAGGCGAGAGGCGGCTGCTCTGTAAACTCCGTGCAGGAAAAACTCCTTGGTAAGTCCCGGCCATTTTAATTAGTCTGAAAATTTTCCTTGTCGTAGCTGGAGAACCTTTCCTGGCACTGAGGGAGAGTTATGCAGTGGGTTTGTGTGGAACATGGTTCCTGCCCCTCACGATTGGGTAACGCCGCTGGAGACTGTAATGATCTCATCTGTGTGTGCTACACAACACAGGCAAGGTCGCTTAACCTTTGGTTTGCGGGGCCTGGGGCTGTGTGGCCGATGAATGATCATAAACACAGTCTGAAGATGTGGCTTGTTGAGGAGAAAACAGAGCTGGGCAGCTGAAATTCTCAGGGTTGCTCAGTGATGAGTAACTAAATGTGCTGAGCAATGAAAATTACCTTCAGGTATCTTGGGTTTGTTTCTGAGCTGTAGGACATCACGTGGCATCCCTTGGATTGTGGTTCTTTTACAAATACTGTGATCACTTTTAGGAGTGCTTTGTCTGCTTTTGTAGCTTTACATTATTTTTTTAAAGGCTGTGCATTGGCAGTTTGGTGTGATGTAACTGGATTTAAAGGGACTCCGGGGGCATCTGGCCCTGCCTTCCCAGGTGAGGCAGAGCAGCTGTTCCTCATTCCACACACTGCCTTCCCAAGCCTTCCCCTGATTCACAGCCCTGATTTAATTACCGTGCTGAGGTGTTTTCCTGTGACTGGACCTAGGAGGGGCCTTGCTTTACAGATGTCCCCTCCAACTCTGCTGCAAACTGAGCTGTTTGGGCAGTCAGATTGAATACAGACTGAAGGCACAGAGCAGTGCTGGCCATTGCTGTCCCCGTGCTGCCTGGTCAGTAGGGGAGGGTTTTGCACATATAAATGTCCCATTCTCTTGCTGTGAGATATCCTGGTGCTTGATCTGGACAGGTAGCACCAGCTGCTCTCCCCACTGCCTCTGCTGCTGTTTCCAAACCCCTGTGGGCACCTGTGAAGTGAAATAATCCTGTTTGCCAGTGCCACCTGCTGTTGTCATGGACAGAGGGCTGTCAGGGAACCAGAAGGAGGGATTCATGCTTTAGTCCAGCTTCCTGTCAAGCTCTGGTTTGAGGCGTAGGGAAACTCTCCTCAGGCTGTAAAGGGGAGAAATTTTTTCACTCAGAGCAGTGCTGTGCAGAGCCAGCTGTGAAAGCTGTGCTCCAGAAGGCTTGGATGCCAGCCAGGATCCTCCCTCTTCTGTCTCCTGGGGTATGTTGGATCTGCTTTCTCCAGGGCTAATGGCAGACCCCACTGGTGGTTCCTTCTCCTCTGGTGTGTCCCACCTGGATGAGAGGGGCTCGGGTGTGAGTCCTGCTGCTTCCTCAAAGGTAAATCAGATCACTTGGAAGAAATAGGTTTTTTTTCTCAGACTCCAATAGGAAGAATGTGGTGTTTGGAGAGATTAGCTAAGTCTCGCACTTGGAAGAAATAGGTTTTTTTTCTCAGACTCCAATAGGAAGAATGTGTTTGGAGAGATTAGCTTAAGTCTCATTAAAATAATTTGTACATTGCTACAAGTCAGCTTGGAAAGCCTTCAGGGATCCCTGCTGACTTTGCAGGGATCACTTCAGTGTTTTCAAGGATAATTTCACACTTTGTGAAGTGCCATCATAAGTAGGCTGTACAGCATTCCATGGTGACAGAGCCCAGGACTTCCACAGAAGGTTACATCCCTCTGCACTGTGGTGGGAGCAGCAGAGCACACCAGGAAAGAAGGCAGGATGACAAGGAGGAGGTGAGGAATAGTAGAAGGCCCTCAGTGAATTAGAGAGCCAAAGGGAGGGAAGCACTGAGCAAGGACTGCTGTTCACCTGGCAGACAGCTCTTTGGGCTGAAGATGCTGTTGCCCTAAACTGTTCATCCTGCTTCTGCTGGAGAGTGCCCCTTTCCAGGCAGGGGTGAACGTGCTGTCCTGTCCTGGGCACAGCTCTGCTTAGTGCCTGCTCTGCATTAATTCCTCTCCTGTTTGTGTGCTGGGCTCTGTAGTGCTCATGCAAACAGCTTTGCTGGCAGAATGCTGAAACCAGCAGCTTCCTTCTTGTGGGCAGGGCTGGAGCAGGGCAGCTAGCTGCACCATGCTGGGGCAGGTTAGTAAAGGAAAAAAACAGTGGAGAGAACTGGGATAAACTTGAAATGAAAGCAACAAAGCCTCTTGCATGCTTTCAGCCTCCCATTTACTGCCAGAGAGCTGGCTAATAATGGAAGGGAATAAAAGCATCTAAATTTTTCATCTGTCGAGACCTCGCTGTCCTGACATGTGGAGAGAGAAGTTTGCTGTGAACAGTTTGGGAAAGCCATGGAGATGTGATTCATTTGGGAGATGGAAGAAACAGCGGAGCAGCTTTTCTAGGATCTGATTATTGATCTGTGCCCATTACACTGGGGCTGATGTCTGATACTGTAATATGCTAATGTAAAGTAATGGAGTGTTATTTGCAAGAGAGTTGGCACTCATATAATCTCTGACTTCAGCTGGGGAAAACAGAATGCTCAAGGCTGGACATGGCTCTGATTTAGGGGAAGGAGGAAACATGAAACTCCAGGCAGCTTTCCCACTCAGCGTATCGATCAAAACCCTCAGAAAGGCATTTGCTGTAATATGCAACGAGAAACTCTTGGTTGAGGCATTTTTCCAGTTAGAACTCAGATGTTCTTTACCCTTGGAAAGTAGTTCTCTGGAATTTGGCAGTGGGTTGGGAAGTCAGAGCAGTGCCAGTGAGTCCTGTGGATTTGCATCTCCTGGGCTGTGTGGACATCGCAGTGGATCTCTAGAGGCGACGGTTTCGTAAGTCCAGTTTACAACCTTTGTCCACTCAGGGGTATTCCTTCTGCTTTTGAAGCAGGAAATTGTACTTTCCACTACTTCAGTATTGAGAAGATTCTGAGCACTCTCAAAGGTGAGATACAAATAATTACCTCCAGCAAAAGCTTCCTTATGCTTTACAGTAACACTCTTGCTTTGTGTGGTGGTTCTGAAGGCACTATTGAACTTTTCTGGCATTTGTGGAATTTAATGTTTGGTTTTTTGAAATATTGGCCACTATGTTGAGCTTGGATTTATTTAAAGGTTTGGGTGTGCTGGTTTAATGGGACTAATTTTAACTACTTATTATGTCTGTAAGATCCATGCTCTTAAAGGCAGCTAATAAGAGATCAGAGCAGCAAGGTTTGAAGATGCTGGTTATTCTCTTAGCCCTGATGATACTAAGAATGTGCCATGTGTGTAAGCTTGCAGCTGAAGTTCACCAGAGATGCTGAGGCAGTGGAAATAATGTGAAGTTTCGAGTTTCTGGTCTGTTTCCATGACTTGGTGAAGCAGGGGCCTTGGAATGCCGTGGGGGTGATAATGACCAGTATCAGTGTTTGCCAGCGAGAGTTGTCTGAAGTGGCAGTTGAACTGTGGTCCTGCCATTCCTAACGTCGGGTGTGGGTCATTCTGAGCCCTGTGGTGTATCCAGTGGAGCACGTCAGAGTAACAGCCAACAAGGTGTTGGGAGTTAAATGCTGCCTTGGCCTGGCAGCTTTTCCTGCAGTGTTTAATTGTGAAGCCTCATTGATCAGACAAGTGGTGGGAGCACTCGCACTGTGCTGCTTGGAGTGGCTTTGTCACTTCTGGTTTGGGTTGAAAGCAGCTGTATTAAGATGCTAAGGAGAAAAAAAAAAAAATAAAAGGAAATTCACCTCCCTGGAGAGCTGGTGTAGAAGACTGAGAAGTGGCTAGAGCTGCCTGTCACTGTGGTGGTGATCGGGAAGGGTGAAGCTGGCTGGCTCTGGTGTCTCTGTGGAACTCAGATGGTCTTGCAAACGCTGCAGTAATTCAGTGCTCATTAACTGCTTGTTGATAGCTCTGCTGCTTTCTGACCTGAAACTGCAGAAGAATTTTGCATCGTTTAAAAAGGGGGGAATGCTCGGTGATGTTCTTAGTGCTCACAGATAATCCAGGCGTTTAGAAACAAAGGTGTAAATGAGTTTCTGAATCTTGTAAACTTTGTAAACACCAGCAGAATTTCCAGGGTATTGAGGAGTGGTGATCAGAAGACTTTCAAGGCTCTGGAATAAACACATTGTGACTCCACTGTAGAATCAATTAATTGACTAGATTGCAGGTGCCTTTAATGGTGTCCTTCTAAAAAGACAATGAAGTGCCTGCTACAGGCGTTCAGGTTAAAAAAATAAAGTCAGAATGCAAAATAAATTGAATAAGAAGTAAAGTCAGAATACAAACCCTAAATTTTACTCTGTGAAGCAGATCTTCAAAGAAAGATAGCTAAACTAAAACATTAAATGATGAATAATAAAAGGTATTCTAGCAACAACAGCTGAGTTCACTGAGCTTTATTTTCTTCTGTGAAATCCAGTTCTGCAGTGTTCCCTTGCAAGGCTTGCAGCAGACTTGCTTTTTAATAAATATTTATGCATCACTGAACAGCAACTTGAATTGTTTTTTTTCCTGAACTTCTGCAGTCACAATGCTTTAGACAGTCTGATTGGTTCTGTGCAGCAAAATGAAACAATGATTTTTGCCCAGTAGATTGGAGAGAAGGTGGTGATCTGGAGACTTTGTGAGAAAGAAGCCAAGAAATGCTCAAAAGTTTGAAGTGAGCCCAGAGATTGAATAGGGCATTTGTCCACAGTGTTTGTTACTCGGGTGGAAATGGCATGTGGAATGTGTGAATGGGGGCAGGGAGGGGAATAGATGCACCATCCTTCTCCAGTAAAAAAAACAATTCAGTGCATTCTTAACTGCTCAGCCTGTCAGGAGTGTGTCAAGGCTTTTTCAAGGAAAACATCTGCTCAGACCTTACAGCAAGTGCAGTGGGGAGAGATGTTTCTGTGGCACAGTGACAGGGGTGTTCCCTTAGCAAATGTTTGTCTCTGTTCAGGAGATGCTGATGTTGCTTCCTGTAATAACACAATTGTTTGATCTGTGCAGAAATTCTGATTGGCACAGGGCTGAAATACACCCAGTGGCTTTGAGGTTTGTCAGTGTGTTTGGACTGTTTTCTGTTTCAGGCCCTGTGTTGGACTGTTCCTGCTTTTTTTACTACACTGTTTACTATACTTTTTTACTTCCCCTGTGGTGCTGGGAACATCACCTTCAGTAATGCCTGGCTCCTTTTGGTTTTAGTTTCTGTTTATGCTGGCAGTGAGTGGAGTAACAGTCATCTTGAGTTTTCAGAAATGCTTTGTCTGTATTTTGAGCTCAAGATGATGTTTGAGGGCACTGGCCTGGCACATCTTTTCAGAGTGAAGCCTGTGGGCAGTATTGTGTTAAACCCTTGACTGTGCTGAGTGCTGCTGTAGTGACAGACCTTGGGCACACTGAGAGCTGGCAGAGTGCAAAGGCCTGTTAGAGGCCTCCCGTGTGTTTAAGGGTCACTCTGCTCTTAAGAGCTGAGCAGGGCACTTAAAAACTGAGCGTTGTGATAATGTGTTGTGGTAACTCCCATCGGGTGCTCACGCCTTGTTAAGAGCAGTCAGAATGCAGCACTTCCTGGCACTCATCTGCTTTTGTTCTCCTTCTTTAGGACTTGACTGGCATAGAGTCCATGGACCAATGTCGCCACACACTGGAGCAGCACAACTGGAACATAGAGGTACCACTGAAAATGAGACTTGTAGCAGTTTCCAAGTGCCTGGATTAAACGCAGCCCTCTGTGGGAGGCGGGGGCCCTGCCAGGAAGATTAACCTGTCCCCCCTGGATTTACCCAAGTAGCTCTTTGGAGCTATCCCCACACCTCTGGAGAGCTGCTTTCAGCCAAACACAGCAGAGTCATTATGGCTGTGAACAATCCCTTGCCTGGCACACGATGTGGCCTCCCGTGGAGCCTGTGTGCTGGCTGCCATGGAGAAGGCTTTCCACATGGAAAAGAGCGCTGGTGGTTGCTGTTTGTCAGCAGTTGTGCTTATCCAGTGCCCTGGGGCTGTGGGCAAGTAGTACCCACTGTCACTGTCCAAAGTATAAAAGCCATAAAATGCCTGAAACCTCCCTTTGCTCTTTCTTGTGTCAAAGGCAGCTGTGCAGGACCGACTGAACGAGCAAGAGGGTGTCCCAAGTGTCTTTAATCCTCCTCCCCTGCGGCCGTTGCAGGTCAATACAGCTGACCACAGGATCTACAGCTACGTTGTCTCAAGGCCACAGCCAAGGGCAAGTTATCTTACAGTGGATTTTGTCCTGCTTCTTGGCTGGCTCTCTATGAATACAGAACTTGCAAGCAGGGAAAGATACTGCTTTCTTTGCATGCTGTTATCTCCTTTCTAAATATTTTATCTTACGAAAACAAAATGTAGAGCTATTCCTTCAGTTTCTGTTACTGCTGTGGAGATTTTCTCCATCCTGTGATTCACAGTCTGAGGACTTTTTTTTTGTCATAGACTGTCTTGCTTTGTGTAGTAAAGCCTTTTGATCAGTAGAATGGGAACAAAGGACTGTCCCCTCCACGTGGCAGTGATAATGTTTTTCTTTCTAGAGCCCTCCTTAAATGTATATTAACTAGAACACAGTATTACTTTCATTAATGTTTTACAAACAAATTTGCATGAGCACCTGTAAGACTTGGTGCTGTTAATCTTTTTGTATAGTTAAGAAAATTAATTCCTTATTTGTAATTGCAGGGCCTGTTAGGATGGGGTTACTACTTCATAATGCTTCCATTCCGATTTACCTATTACACGTTACTTGATATATTTAGGTAAGTCCTTGTTTGTGCTGACTCACTTATTGACTGCATCAGGGAGCACACTAGCTCAGATTTGGCTGGATCTGTGTCACTTAGATCTTTAAGCCTCATGGCAGATTTTCCATTTGTTTCCTTAACTGGCATTATCTCTGCCCTTGTGAAGTTCCTGTGCTGTTTAGTAAGAAATAAACCTTGTTGCAGAGAAAAAGAGCACCTTGCAGCTCTGTTAATGAAGTGTTTAATGGGATCTCTAACTCCACTCAGCTTTACAGTCTGAGTGCCACACAAAGAGGTTGCAAAACAGTGTCCAGCCCTTTGGTATTCTTGGACAAACATCAGAATCACGTCCCATTGGGTCGCAGGTTAACCTGCCCTAATTCCTGGATTTTATTTGGCAAAACCCAAACTATAAACACCTCTGCTTTATTGCCTTTGGTGTCTGTTGCCTCTTCTCCCTTTACTGCCCCAAAGCATTAATTCTCCTTGTCTCCTTTACAGCACTGATAGAGGGAAAAGGGAATGGTAGTGGTGGTAAATGGTCAGCAGTCCTGCCATCTGCCCTGGTTTGGCAGTTTCCCTGTTGTATTACTTTTTTCCCCCATTAAAGACATTTCCAAAGTTCAGTGTATCTTCTGTGCATCAGTAGAACTAAACAACACTGATATCTGCCTTGCAGTGAAGCTTTTTCAGCTTCAGAGGAATGACAGTTTCACAGGACTCGTAGTGCAATGTTCTCTTTCTGCAACACTTTTTACATTGGAATTCTTAGTTCTGGTTTAGAAAAAATGCAGTTTTCAAAGTTATCTGGACAAAACTGCGTGGGTTTTAACAGCCCATCTTTGACTAAATTCTTCAAACCTCCTGCTGTTGGTGTGGCTTATGCCTGATGCTTCAGAGGAAGCTGAAACTGTTTAATCACACAAAACTTGGATCCTTACAGATCCCTGCCATGGGATGAATCCTCACTGGGGTTGGTTCTGTAGCAGTGGTATCAGTTTGGAGCGGATGTCAGTTTAGGTTCAGATTATAAATGTTCAAGGCTCTCAGCTATGACTTTTTTCCACTTTATGAATCCCAGTGACTATCTGTAGAAAAGAAAACCTGTGCCTCAAGAAGTCAGTGAGCTGAAACTCCAGTGTCCTTTGCTTCCTTCCTAGGTTTGCTCTGCGTTTTATACGCCCTGATCCTCGTAGTCGGGTCACCGACCCAGTGGGTGACATTATTTCGTTTATTCATATGTTTGAGGAAAAATATGGGAGGATACACCCAGTCTTCTACCAGGGGACTTACAGCCAGGTCAGTGTCATGTGTTGGTGCATAGGTGCTGGGGAGTGGTGATTTTGCCACGTGGTATCAGGGCCTGCATGGCAAAATTGCTTTTCATCTACAAGCCTAGCATTTATCCCCAAACTATCTTAAGAGAGTAATGGAGAGCTAGTGAACAAGTGTGTTGGGAAACCAGTGTCTGCCAGGCTTGATGGTTTGCCAAGCCTGCAAAGTTGGAAAGCAAAGCTACTCTGGCTGTTCCTCGACCGTCTGTGTGACTCTGTAGCTGACAGCTTTTCTTTGTAATCCTGCCTTTGTTTTTATAAACTGGTGTGCTGTGCCAGAGTCTGTCCTTCTGTTCACCAAATTGGGATTAACTGCCTGGGCTTGTATCACAATGCAACTTCACAACAGTTCGGGGCCTCAAAATTGAGAGGGAGCCCCTAAGAAATTATGGGAGGTGAGTGTTCCATATATCAAATCTGAGGGGGCTCTCTGTAGAAGAGGGATATCCCCATGGACACTGCCTCTTGCACAGCTTCTCTCAGCCTGGCCAGGGGAAGGGTCTCCTGCAGAGCATCCATCAGACAGTTGGATCAGCACTGCTTCCCAGGTGCCTGGGGGGAAAGTGTCAGTGCCTGTCTGCTCCACACTGCCCAGTGATGGAGCTCACTGCCTCTGCAGCTCTTTTAGGCTCCTCTGTCATTCCTGGAATCCACACTCAAGTAATTGTGGAATGGTTAGGCTACCAAAACTCAGTGCCAGTAAAACAGGGAGTATATATTGTGCACTTATCCTGTGGCCTTGTTAAAAATGCTCTTGGGTGGGTGGAATCCAACACTATAGATGTGGAAAGGGAGGGATGCTTTTCTTTGTTGTCTGGTTTTTGGGGGGGCATGCAGCATTATTTATTACCTGTTTTAATAGAATTTTCATTTGGTGGGATCTGAAGATTTTGTCCTGTGCAGGCTCAAGGGAAAGCTCAGCCTTGGCCACTGTGAGTCCAGGGGGTGAAGGAGGTTCTTCACTGCTGGCTGAGTGTGGTGAGGCAGCTGAGGTGTCAGTCCATGTCATTGCCTACCCAGCTTCACTCTGAGTTCAGTGTTCCCCAAAGCCACATCCTGAGAGGATATGAGAGAACACCACTGTAGCCCTGTTAAATAAAGGCTTACTTAGAAGGTCTGACAGGTTCATCCTCCACTGCTGCTTCACTAAAACCATTCTAGTGGCAGAGTAATGACCTGGGTCACACAAACCTTGTGGGTGCTGCATCCCCTTGCCCAGAGATCCTGTAACTTTACCTCCTCTGCTCTTATGCCAAGGCCCTGAACGATGCCAAGCGGGAGCTGCGCTTCCTGTTGGTTTATCTTCATGGGGATGACCACCAGGACACAGATGAGTTCTGCCGGTAGGTAGGAGAATTTCCCAAATAGTTGTCTTTGTATTGGTAATGCAGCTTCCCTCACATGGTCTCTTCTCATCCCCCAGCAATACACTGTGTGCACCTGAGGTCATCACCCTCATCAACACTAGAATGCTCTTCTGGGCTTGCTCAACCAATAAACCAGAGGGATACAGAGGTGAGTGTGTCCCTCCTGGGCTTTACCTGTCCCCTTCTGTCTCTGGAACAAGCCAGATGCTCTTTGATGAATTTACACGTGTGAAACACGCTCTTGTCTACTTGAACAAAATACAGCAGATTTCAGGACTGCATGGGGAAATACATGTGTTGATTTCCTGGGATATCTCGAAAGGTTTGGATGCCAAGGAAATGCATTCTGATCTTCACCTCCACCCTTCTGTGTGTTTCTGGGCAGTTGTAGTTCTGTGCTCGTTGCTGTGGGCATTTAGGCTGCTTTCAGTGCCTTGTCAATGGGAGTTGGTGGGTGTGTGCTGGGGATAAACTGAGTGGAGAAACAAGTATCCAACTACACCTGTCCTTAAGCACTGTGACGCCTGAGGCCAGGGAGGACTTGTTAGGTGCATTCTTTCCCTTTCTGAGACAGTCACCTTAATCCACAACCAATCTCTGTGTCTCCTCAAAAGCCTACAGTGTTTGAGAGCTGTTGATACCTGTTCAGACAGTATTTTGGTAAGGATTTGCTGCAAGTGGAGCCTTTTCCCAGTGTTCTGTTTATGGCTCCTGTGTTGCTTCCACCATTTCTGTTTCATGATCAGGAAAATGCTACTTTTGGGTCACTCTTGGCTCCATAGTTCTGCTCCCAGTTATCAATAACTTGAGAGAAGAGCTCTCTGAGGAGACAGTCTTTGACTTATTCCTGTTTCATTGCTGCAATGCTTTGGAGTCACAGCCTGGGAAGCAGAGCTGGAAGGGATCGTGACCTTCCATTTAATCCCTGAGCTGCTCTGATTTGTTTGGGGGCTCCATTGGTAACAAAGGCTCCAAGTTGCAGGATGTACCATGTGTGTTTTATGGAGAGGATCCACAGCCATATATGAACAGTAACTTAAGCACATCATCTGTTCTGCTCCCTGCTTCAGACAGAGCCTGCCTCCAGCAAAGCCAGCCTAAATTTGTTCAGAAATGCTCAATGTGGACAAACTGCCGTCTCCCCATGGCAGTTTCTTCCAGAGCCCAACCATCCCTAATCACCTGAGCAAATGTTTACATGTACTTGTCCTGTGTTTCTCTTCCTGCAGTTTAAACCCATGGCTTTGTCCCATTTTCAATGGACATTCAGAGCCATGTGCTTCCTTCCTGCTTGAGTTAAAAGAGCCTTTTTTGGTTACTTGAAAGCTTGGGTTTTTTCCCATCAGTATTTGTGCTCCCAAAGCCATTTCCTCCCTTTGCCAACGTACAGGGTTTAATTTTCAAAATGGAGCCTGAGGCCTTTTTTGCCTTGGAAGGGAGAATGTCTGGGGAAGGTGCTTTCCTTGGCCCCCGTGATGGGAAGCGTTTGTGCTGTGGCCCTGGTGCCTGGGGTGGTGACGTTGTGCTGTCGGCAGTGTCGCAGGCCCTGCGGGAGAACACGTACCCCTTCCTGGCCGTGATCATGCTCAAGGACCGCAGGATGACCGTGGTTGGGCGGCTGGAAGGCCTCATCCAGGCTGATGACCTCATCAATCAGCTGATGTTCATCATGGATGCCAACCAGACATACCTGGTGTCCGAGCGCCTGGAAAGGTAGGATGGGACCAAGCTGCAGCAACACAAACCGTGTTGAGGCGGGCTCTGCTCTGTCCCTTCCTCCCTCCAGACACCGCGTGTAGGCACACAGCTCAGCACCTCCCGTTCTGTAACACAGCCCGTGGCCTCTCCTCTTGCCAGGGGGATCATCAGTCCATAAATTCAGGCCATCTTATAGCCAGGGAGCCAGATGTGTTGCACACACAATCCCACCACTGAAAGGTGGATGTGAGTACTCTGTTCTCTGCAATTGGAGCACACCTTTGGCATGCTGGAGCTTTGCAGGGAAAGCTTGGACAATAGCCAGTAGGATCCAAGTTGGGAGCAAGGGCATTGCGGGCAGGAGAGCTGGTGTCCACAGCTCTGTGCTGCTCCCTGGGCTGGCTGTGCTGAGCTCTGGCTGCTTTTCTGGTGGGGCCTGACAAGTCCCTGGTGACTCTTAGGGATGTACAGGTTGCATCCAAAACAGGATCCTACATTTGACTTTGTCTGTCCCTCCTCTGCCCCACACTCTGTGTGAGGATCCAGTAACACGTTCCAGTTTATAAAATGTGCAAGGAATTACCTGAAGGAGATGAAACCAGGGAGAGTCTCAAATATGAGGCAGGAATCCTGGGCATTGTTCTTGTGCTGTCTGTCAGCTCTGCCAAGCTGTAGAGGTTCAGAAGCCTTTTAAATTCAGTTCTACCTACCCCTGGGAAGCAGTTTGATTGTGAGGGACTGTGGGGACCTGGCTTGGCCTTTTGGGAGCTTGTGGTACCCCAAGGCATTACCTGCTGTGTGCTTCTCTGAGTTGGAGGCTGTCCCTGCACCCTTGGGTCTGCCCTCAGCTGCCATCCCCTCACTTTAGGGCCTGTTAGCCCTGACCACTTCCCACTCGTGTTTGCAGGGAAGAGAGGAACCAAACCCAAGTCCTGAGGCAGCAGCAGGACGAGGCATATCTGGCATCCTTGCGTGCAGACCAGGAAAAGGAGCGCAAGAAGAAGGAGGAAAGGGAGAGGAAGAAGAAGAAGGAGGAGGAAGTGCAGCAGCAAAAACTGGCAGAGGAGAGGCGGCGGCAGGTGAGAGCAGAGGCACTGCAGGAGGGGCTGCAGTGTCCTGTGGGATGCCTGGCCTGCAGCAGGAATTGCTTGTCTTGCTTGGAGCTTGAGCATTCCTGAGGCTCCTGGAGCAGCAGTGCTGCAGGGGACAGGCACAAAGGTCAGCTGAGTGCACACCATTGCTCCTGCTCCCTCCTTGCCTTGCAGACACTGCAGGAGGAGAAGGAGCGGAAGTCGGAATGCCTTCCTCCAGAACCGCATCCCGACGACCCGGAGAGCGTCAAGATCATTTTCAAGCTGCCTAACGATTCCAGAGTGGAGCGGCGATTCCACTTCACACAGTCACTGACGGTGAGCTTGGGGCAGAGCAGGGGGGCCTTCCAGAGCAAGGGGCTGAAGAGACTTGCAGGTGGCTTTTTTCCCTTGGGCTTGCCAAATGGTGACCTTTGCTGAGAGCCTCGGCAGGCAGAGCTCCTTGAAAAGAGAGTGCTGTAGGGCCTGGTTCCACCAGCTTGGAAGAGGAGAAAAAGTGGAAGAAGCTGTTTTGGCACCTGAAAATCTGGAAGGTGTCTCTGCCCATGACAGGGCAGGGTGGGACTGGATGATCTTTCAGGTCCCTTCCAACCCTTAACATTCTGCAATGCCACTGCTTCCTCTGAAATAAAGGTGTAGGAAGAGTCAGAAACAGTGTCTGGTCTCCCCAGTGCTCTGTGCCAAGCCCAGTTTCATGTGTGCCGAGGAAATGGCTGTCTCAGGTGTGCAGCGCAGTGATGGTGCGAATTTGGGAACCTTTCCCCACGAGATGCCAGGGATTGCCAGGGATTCACTCTGGCTGTGTCAGTGCTCCCCCAGCTGGCAGTAATTTCGGTGTCTCTTTCCTAGGTGATCCACGACTTCCTGTTCTCCTTGAAAGAAAGCCCTGAGAAGTTCCAGATTGAGGCCAACTTCCCTCGCCGTGTCCTGCCCTGCCTCCCTACAGAGGAGTGGCCCAACCCCCCCACGCTGCAGGAGGCGGGACTCAGCCACACGGAAGTCCTCTTTGTGCAGGACCTCACGGACGATTGACACTTCTTTTTGGTTTTGTTTTTGTTTGGTTTATTGTTCCGTTTGGTTTTTTTGTTTTGTTTTGTTTTGTTTTTTTTTTCCAGAAGACACAAAAACGGAAAGAGAAATTCATATTATTATTATAATACAATATTTTTTTTAAAAGACTGCGTACAAACGAGGGATCAGAGACCACATGGCCTGTGCCAGCTGTGCCGCGTGCGCGCGCACGGCCAGCCCCTGCACGGGGGGCACACGGGGGGAGCTGCTGTTGCCCCTCCGCCCTCCCTGGGGAGGAACAGGAATGGCAGCTCTTGGTAATTATTGCTTTTATTGATGACAATAATAATAAAACCCCGGCAACCCAACATCTTGTGAGGATTTGATACTCTGCTGCTCCTGAGAGACACAAGACCGAGCACCGGAACGTGCTGGGATTGGGGTGGGGGGAAAGGGCTGGACAGACTCTATTCAGCTTCCCTCTGTGTATAAATACTGTTCTTTTAATATTTCTCTTGCTTTGTAATGACCAAAGGAGATTGGGGTTGACTATAGTATTAACTTTTTGATAAAGAGCTGGTTCGATTCTTACCCATGTGGGGCCTTGCCCAGGGTTCTTAGCCTGCGTAGTGTAATAAACTCTGCCTCTAGCATGTCTGTGCCGATGCTTTCTGCCCCTGCCCCAGGGAGGGGCTCGGCTGCCGTGGGCCTTGTGGCTCCCAGCAGTGTGGGTGCACTCGTCTGCTGCTGTCACACTGGTGATTTTGTGCCAATGGAGCTGTTGGATGGGAGGAGAAGGTGCCCGGCACGGGGGATGGCAGGGCTGGGGTGCTGCTGTGCCACCTCCTGTGGCAGCAGCTCCGGATCAGGGAGGGAGGGAGCTGATGAGGCTGGGGCAGCCCTGGTGGAGCAGGTGTGTGAGGAACAGGCTCGGCCAGGGCTGGGGAGCTGTGCCAGCAGCTGCCCAAAGGCAGTGCTGGGAGCCTGTTCCTGCAGTGACCCGTTCTGGAGCCAAGAATGGTTAAGGGTGCAAGGAATCTCAAAGCACATCTCGCTGCACCCCCTGCCACAGGCAGGAACACAGGGCGAGCCTCTTCCCTGGCCCAGCACGGGAATGCTGGAGGGTTGGGATGGAGGAGAGGTGGAAGGTGTCCCACTGCTGTGGCTGGAGCCACCCGGGGAGCTCTGCTGTCCCGGGATAGCAGCCAGGACTTTCCCGTCTCTGTGCGAGCTGTGAGGGGTCGCCAGGTGAGAAGGAGGGGGTGTGTGGTGCTGCTCAAAGCCAGACCCTGCTGGGGCAAAGCATCCAACCAGTCCCTGCTGCCACCCTCGGGCTCTCCTGGGCTCTCCAAGCCTCTCTCCAGGGCCCTTCCAGCTGTGGCAGCTCCTTCCCATCCCTGGCTCCCACTCTCCCCCTCAAGCCCCCATGGAGACAAGAGCTGGGCCCAGCGTGTTGGTATACATCATACATTTATTAGTGAATATCCCTCTCAAAATCAGCCACAACATTAAAAAAAATAATGATTGCACTACTTGGTCAAGCAGAACTAGCAACTTTCATTTTAAAAAAAGTACAAATCTGTTAAAAATTTCAATCAGTATAATACACATATATATAATACAACATACTAGTTATGTTAAATGCTACAAAACCAATATGATTCCAATGGAATGGAAAAAAACAAACACTTTTAGAGCTTTAAGAACCTTTTTTTTCTATATATTAGCCTTTTTTCAAATACATACATGGGAAAAATGAGGTAACTGTAAAATGTGCAAGTAACAGAGCAAAAAAAATTATATATATATATTTATATATATATATATATATATAAAAACTTTCTAACACAGAACACACGTCCTAGCACCTTCCGGGGAGCCGCGGGGAACGCGGGGGTCCCACCGGAGGGCCCGGGGACTGGTATAATAGAACAGTAAACAGTCCACTATCCCACCACAGGAAGTCATTGGTAAACAGTGGTATCTACAGCGCAGTCAGCAATCACAAACACCCTAAATAATTGTTTTTTAGTATATTTTTTTTGTCGTTTTTTCTTTTTGTTATTTTTTTTTTAAATGATACTTTTAGCTGCTCATTGGAATAAATTCTGCAGCACACGAGCTGTGAGCTTTCGAGTCGCCGTCAAAGGACCGTAAGGCTTTCCTGGCTCCCTGGGCACCGCGAGGGCGGGAGGGGAGGAGGGGGCGTCTCCGGGGGCGCGAAGCCGGGGACTCCTTTGGTTATCTGTCACTGAGTGAGGGACGGGGAAGGGGCCGGGGTCCTGCCCAAGGGGCACCGAGCCCAGCGGTGCCGGCACCCGTGCCACGGCGGAGCGGGTGGCGCCGGGCCGGGGCCCTTGGCCTCGATGCTCCGCACAGAGGGCGGCCGCCGGAGAGGTGGGAAAGGGCGGCGAGGGGGAGCTGGCCCGTAGCCCCCCCACCGCTCGCCACCCCCCGCGCCCGACCGGGCAGCGTCCGGGGCCGGCCCACCGGTGGCTGGCACTGCCCTCCGGCCCTCAGCGTGGGGAACGCCACCGTGCCCACCCGTGTGCCAGGCGCGGCCCCTCACCTCGCACCCGGCCGAGCCACCGCCGGGGGCCAGCCCCGCGCCTGCCCCCCGCCCCGCGGGGAGCCGCCCCCTCCCACCCCGGTCCCTTGCACACGCCGCCGCCGCGGGCGCGGACCCCGCGGGACGGCCCTGAAAGTCTCACGGTCCTGCTGTGGCGTTGCGGACATGTGCAGTACAGTGCATGGCAGTATCAGCTGAGCACAAAAACCCCTCTCCCCACCCCCCTCACCCCACAGCCGGCTAGACGTAGCCAAGACCACGTTCCAAGCTGGTCAGACATGCATGCATATTTGTGAACATTTACATAGGGCTGGCGTCCGCTCGGAAGCTCCCAGGCGTCAGCGACGCGCCGGGAGGGGAGGGCGGTGCTCTCACCACCACCCCTGCCACCGCCTCCCGTCACCCTCCTCGCTAATTAATCATGCAAAACAACGGCCACGCGGGATTGATGGAGCCGGGCGGCGGCGTGGCGGCTTCTCCCCCAGCGCCTGCAAGGGCAGGGGGAAAACGGTGGCAAGGGGACTGCTCACAGCTTCCCCCGCACCAGCCGGGCCAAGGCCAGGGTAGCACTGAAAATACTCCACGAAGTTAGGAATAAAACCCCCCCGCTCTGGGGGCCGCAGCCCAGCCGGCCCCTCGCTGCCCACGGCGGGGAAACCGCACCGTCCAGCCAGCAGGACGGGGCACGGGGCTACCTTGATTTACATCGTCGGGACAGAGATACGAGCAGGAGCCGGGGGCCGGGCAGCACACCGGGGACACCACAAGCCCAAAGCCCTAGGGATGGGGTTGGTATCCCCTCCTCAAGCTTGGCTGCCTTGTGGGATGCCACACGGCCTGGCCCCGGGAGCTGCGCTGGCCAGGCACAGGGGAATGAACAGGGAGAGGGGCCAGGGCTGTGCCAGCACCATCCTCCCACTGGTGAAAGACCCCAAGCAGCCATAGCCCTCTGGGGCTCCCCAGGGCAGCCGAGGCAGGAGAGAGGCCGTGCCAGGCTGCGCACAGGAGCGGGGACAGAGGCATTCCTGCGTTCCTGCCTTTCTGCCCCAGCCACGCCGCGGGGTTGCTGGTGTCCCACCTTGGCCACACTCCGCCAGCCACCTCCTCCGGCTGTCCCCGGGGCCGGGGCGCTGCCGGCATCAAACCCGCAGCGCTCCCTCCTCTCTCCTCCCCACGTCCTCCGAGAGCAACGCTGAGGGGAGGAGCCGCCTGCGTGCCCCTAGGGCAAACGGCCAAGGAACCAAAAACATGACGGAAATGAAAAGGAAACAAGGGGGGGAAAAAAACTATCGTAAAAATAAAAAAAAAAATAGTGACAAAGGGAAAAACCACTAATTCCCTAGGAGAGTACAAAGACCTGGAAAGTGATGGAGCAACAACAGCGTCTTTGGAGCGCAGAGGGCACGGCCACGCACCTCCCGCCTCCAGCACAACACGATTCGGGGCCCTGGGAGCGCAGCGGGCAGGCGTCCGGCTGAGTCCGTGCCCCGGCGGGGAGGAGGAGGGCCGGCCGGGAGCCCAGACTGCTCAATGCTCACCACATCCGAGGAGAGGCTTTGGGGAGGGGGGGTAAGCGCAGGGTCAGGCCCTAGCAGCGGGCAGCAGCCCCCGCCCCAGCCCGGCGTCCTTGTCCTCTAGCGAATTGTGCGGCACAGCGCCCGCCAGCCTCAGTCCGCCTCCCGCTGCACCTCCGACGCGTCCGCCCGGCAGATCGGGCACGTGCGGTTTGCCTGTGGGCAACCGGAGACGGGCAGGTGAGCGGCACTGCTGGCAAGGCCGGAACCTCATCCCAGGAGCGGCTTATCCAGCCCTGCCCAGTGCTCGGCCCCAGCTCCCAGTGCATGCGGGACACAGGCCACCCAAAAGGCAGCACCCCATACCCACAGCACCCCAAGAAGCCACCCCGCTCCCCACGGCGGGCACAAGGCAGTACCTTTAACCATTTGTCGACACACTTGGCGTGGAACTCGTGGTTGCAGGGCAGGACGCGGAGAAGCTGCCGGGCCTCAAAGTCACTGAAGCACACGACGCACCTGGGGGAAGCGGCCATCAGTATAGCCCCACTGCCAGCCATGGGCCCCCATCCCTGCCAGGCCCCCCATGTGCACCCCCAGCTCACTCACAGGGTCTGCTCAGACTGGTGGCTCTCGGGGTTGAAGCGGTATGACGGGAGGTGCTCGATGTCTGCTTTGGTGAGTCCCCGTGGCTTGGCCTCCCCCAGCCGCTCGGCCAAGTTCAGCAGTGCCTGGAGGGAGATGCAGAGGCCGGCCCAGCTCGTCTCCTGTTCCGGCACAGCACGCCTCCAGACTCCCCCCTCCCAGCAGAACAATCAGCAAACCCCCCCAGCTCTCCCATCCCATCACTGCGAGGAAGCCAAGCAGACGCACCTCATAATTCTCCATCTCCACATCATCCACGTCCAGGTCTAAGCTGATCGTGGGGCCCACGGCCGTTGGCGACACAGGAAGCATAGAACTGGGGAAGGACAGGGCAGTCAGCATGGGGCCACAAACCCCAACGTCCCCCCTGGCACCCCCCAGGGGACAGAGCCTCCTGTGCCAACACAGTGCCACTGCGGCCTCCATCCACAGTGCCACCCCTGCCCTACGCATCCTATAATATCCCCAGCAGTACTCACAGGAAATAGGGCAGGAAGCTCGGATAGTAGGGAGGAGGCGGCGGAGGGGGCGGCGGCGGGGGCAGTGCCTGTTGCAGCCGGTACCGCTGGGTGTTCAGCCGCCGGGGCATCATATGGGGGTATGGCTGCAGGGAGAGATGGGGCACTCAGAGTCATGCCAGCCCCACAGCGTTCCCAACTCCTCCCTAGGATGGGCACTCACCACGCCAAATGGCAGTTCTTGGTGCAGCGGGTCGTGGGGGAGGTAATGCAGCGGCATGGAGGGCGACAGCGTGGGAGCGTGGTGAGACGGAGGGTAAGTGAAGCCTGCGATGGGGTGCTGCTCCCCTCGCAGGTCCACGTCATTGTCTATCCTCTGCAGAGGCTGTGGGGAAAGAGTTAGGCTGGGAGGAGCATCCCAAATTACACCTCCCCGATGCTATGAAGACAGAGACACCCTGGGCACC